GTTCAAAGGTATTTACCTATATTTCCCTCAATAAAACCTGACCTGACCTCCCACCTAATAATTCGGTGGCTTATTCTTCTCGGACAGTAAACTGGTGTATGTAGGGCCTACCCTAAGGAAAGATTTATCCTAGGGTGAATCTGACGCGTTATCAGTCATACCTGCCTTACGGGCGTGAACTTTCGCCGGATGTCTTAAAATCAGCCCGGCTGAAGCCTAGGACGCGCGTAAACTCATTTATTTTTAATTATATTATTATTATAGCCTAATTCTCGTAACTGCAGCAGTAAATTTGCTTTATTAGCTACACATAATTCTTATCTAGCTTACCTTAAAATCTAGCTGGCTGTTACTTCATTAATCATTTTAGACACAAATTTACCTCTTTGTTTACGAAGTCTAGTCTCTAAGTTAGATTTTCTTAGCTTTGATAGTGTAGTCTAGTCCTCAAAGCTTATTCTAAGCTTTTAGCTTATTGCAGTCTCAGCAAACTGTTGTTCTCTAGTGCGGTACTTGTAGCGCATGTAATATGCATGTCTTATTACTGAACTCTTACTACTGTCATAGGAATTACTAATTTTTCATGACTAGTTTATTTTGAAGAAGTTTTCTTCCTAATGGACAGATGATGCTCTGTAAACCCTGAGCAAAACTAGATACTGTAGAAATTCAAGACACCGCTGGACAAACTATGATCCCGATTTCGCAGCTAAAGTCTGATAGCTAAGATGCTTGACTGGCTATCGTAAGCTAAACGCAGGGACCATAAATAGATTCCTCTCCTTACCGTGGTTGACGTAATCCATACAAGCCCTGGCAGGTAATCTGGCTTCTCAACGCCATATATAGCTGCCGGAGAATTGCAAGTAAGTAGCAGTAGCAGTAGTAGAATTAGCATCGTCTAGTAGCACGACAACAACTACTAGACTGATTCTTTTGAAAAATTTGGACCAAAATATACGAGGGAAATGTTGCAGAAGTCCGCAAGTGGTGACGACCAAGTGGTGAGACCGAGAACAAAAAGTTTATCTGGCTCAACCCAAAGGTGGGTAATAACAGGGCTCCCATTTAGTGGACCGTCTCTCTATTGAACTTGTATTACAGTTTAATTTACTGCTATTAGTAGGTATGGCAAATAGTATTAACCGTCTCAGCACTCAAATACTACATCTAACAGCAGCTCATAGTACTCGTAGTCCGAAAATTGGTAAAACCTGGCACAGCTTTGGTTGATAGAGGTAAGGGCGCAGAAGGCCAGCCGTGACGTGCTCCGGCCACGAACATGTATTACTCGAAATAATATAAATCCAGATTGACATGAGTCTCAGCGCTGACCCAAATCAGCATCAACTCTGACTTATAGATTCGACAGATACAGTTACAGCAATAATAGCACTCCGCTAAATTGCCAGTTAATAGCAGCATAGGAAGACGATACCCTGCCAGTATGCTCAGGCTATCGCAACCTAGGCGTTGTAGTAGGCCTGCAGACGGCCTATACACGGCAAAAGTCACCACGTGAGACATGAAGGTATGGCAGAACTTGTTCTACTAGTTAATAACGTTTTGCCTTAAGTCACAAACTATTAATCTACTTTGCCTCATACAGATT